CCAGGAGAAAGCTTTTAAATTTTATATTATTTTATTTTTGCCTTTAAAGGCAAACGTCCTGGCAGTCTGGAGTAAAGGCCTGCTGAGTCAACCGCAGCTGATGCAAGGGGGGCTGGCCGGGGCTGGGATGCAGGAGTCCCAGACCGCAGGATATTTTGCAACTCAAATCCTCCCAGGCTGCAGGTAAACACAGGGTTGGACTTCCTCGAAGGCCTGATGGGCCAAGCAGGACAGTTTTTTGTGTTTAATATTTTCGCTCTCATTTGCACACCTGTTCAAACCACCTGCTCCTAGAGAATTTTTCTGCTTTCCTTCTTTATCCTTTTGCGTCCTCCTCTGCAAGATCCCTCAGGGCCACCACGCGCTCCCTGACGCTGGGGGCCACCTGAGGAACACATTCCTCCTCTGCTCTCTCCTGAGCACCAGGCTTGTCTGTCCAGCTATCTCCAGGACAGCCTCTTCATGTGCACAGGGACCTGGCACTGCCCATGTTTAATTCTAAACGCATCATCGTTCCCTACCCCTTCTGGTCCCCACTCCAGAGATGGCTCCTCTAATTCACCAAATTATTTCCCCGTCCCCACTTCTGCCCTGAGCTTTTTTTTTTTTTTTTAATATATTTTATTGATTTTTTACAGAGAGGAAGGAAGAGAGATAGAGAGCCAGAAACATCGATGAGAGAGAAACATCGATCAGCCGCCCCCTGCACATCTCCCACTGGGGATGTGCCCGCAACCCAGGCACATGCCCTTGACCGGAATCGAACCCGGGATCCCTCAGTCCGCAGGCCGACGCTCCATCCACTGAGCCAAACCGGTTTTGGCGCCCTGAGCTTTAATATAACTCAACAGGCACTGTTACTAATCTTGTCATTATTTAAAATTTTGGTATTTTGTCATCATGGGTTTTTTTTTCTTTAATTTTGGTTTTTAGAAAATATTGTGTAAAATACATTATTTATCTTTATGACTGAGCTTTTGGCACCCCCTTAAATCTTACTGGGGATATGAGTGCCTCACTTGCCACACCCTAATTCTGACCTGACTGGTAATGTTTTGTAATCGGGGTGCTGCTCACACGGGTGTGTTCGGTTTGTCAAAATTCAGCAAGCTGGCCCTAGCTGGTTTGGCTCAGTGGATAGAGCGTCGGCCTGCGGACTGAGGGGTCCCGGGTTCGATTCCAGCCAGGGGCACATGCCTGGGTTGCGGGCTCGATCCCCAGTGGGGGGCGTGCAGGAGGCAGCTGGTCGATGATTCTCTCTCATCATTAATGTTACCCTCTTCTTTCCTCTCTGAAATCAATAAAATATATTTAAAAAAAATTCAGCAAGCTGTACACTTCCAATTTTTGCACTTTTCTGTATGTATATTATGCTTCAATTTAAAAATTTATTATTTTTTTTTACTTAAAATATCACTCTCTGGTTTCAAGGGAATGTCTGCTGTCTGCTTCTTCTAGCTAGCACCCCCAGCACCAAAAAACAATCTGGCATACACTGAGACTCCGTACTTACTTCTTGTTGTTGTTGTTTTTTTTAATATGTTTTTATTGATTTTAGAGAGAGGAAGGGAGAGAGAGAGAGAGAAACACCGATGTGAGAAAGAAGCATCAATCAGTTGCCTCCCGCACACACCCTGACTGGGACCAAACCCACAACCTGGGCATGTGCCCTGACTGGGAATCGAACCAGTGACCCTTTGGTGCACTGGACGATCGATGCTCTACCAATTAGGCCACATTGGCCAGGGCTCAGTACTTATTTGTTGAATGAATGAATGAATGAATGAATGAATACAATATTATTTCAGTTAATTGAATCCCCACAAAAACTCCATGAGTATTTTGCTCTCCTTTTTCTAAAATGAAACACTGAGATTCAGGGAAGCGAAGTAATTTGCCAAGGATCACACAGGTAGTAGGTTTGAGTTCTAGCACCTCGATTAAAAAAATAAACAAAAACCTCTGACCAGCAGTGTACCTGGGTCTGGCCTTATCACTTAGATTACAATTATTTGAGCTGTATCTTTCTCTAGATAATGACTTCCTTGGGGCAGGGACTCAGGCATTTCTGACTTCCTTCTTCTAGCTACTTGCTTAGCACAAGGGAAAGGCTATAAATGTTTAAATGAATGAAGCAAAAAATGAATGAATGAGGCCAACAGTGATATGTGGGGGTTAGAGCACAGTTTTGAAGACAGATCTGCTAGCTGTGTGTCTTTGGGCATATTACTTAGCCTTTCTGAGTTTCAATTCCCCCGCCTATAAAATGGGAATAATATCAGTATCTCCCTCAAAGAATTATTGAGAATATAAAGGAGAAAATGACTGTTGAGTGACAGGCATATAATAGATACTTGAAAAATGGTAACTATTGTTTCTAGTGTTTTACATTTTCAAAGCCAATTTACATCAGGGTGGCAGGGATCTGTCTCTTTCTATTTCCAGGTATTGTTTTCTGGGGGTCTCTGGAGGAGGAAGGCGGGGACCTGATGCAGCCCACAGGAGCTTTCTTCCTCAAACTGGTCAAGAGAGCAAGTGCTGGAATAGTCCGGAAGTCTGGCCCAGCTCCTCACTGCCAGTGGTGCCACCGTTGATGAGTTGCTTCCTCTCTGCGAGCCTCAATTTTCTCTCTGTAGGATGGGGCTCAGAAAAAGCTTGATCATAATTATGGGGCTCTGTGGAGGGTCCAATGGCATGTTCCTGGGCCTAGCACACAGTAGGTCCTTTATAACATTTACATCTGAGGAATTGACCTGGCACTCTGAGGTGTGGGAGAACATGGAGACAGAGGGTCTCAGAGACCCCGACAAGTCCCAGTACTGATGGGAAAAACAAACAGCCTGGCTGGGCTCCATTTCGCTCTTAGAACCTTATTTCTCCTGAGAAGTGAAATACTAATTCCCTTTATGCGGATGCAACTTTGTGCAAAACCTTCCCACAAGTCATTCCTTGGTTCCTTCCTCTTCACCCCTTGTGCTGAGGGCAAGACCAAATTTTATGTATACATCCACTGGGCAGTTAAGGAGAATAAGGCATACTTGCTTTACCAAAGAAGGAAATTGGTAGCAAATTAAAGGTATGAAACCTGGACCTCACCCTTCCCCTCCCCCATACCCCAAACCCCCTCAAGGGGAACAGGCAACCTTGCTGGCATCCAGCCATGCCTGCCCCCACCTGGCAGTCAGGCACATTCATCACGGAGTTGCGGGCTGATTCACCAGAGCTGACTCACTTTAGAAGATGGACAGAGAACCAGTTGTGAGCCCGTGGAGTCCTCCCTTCCTCACTGAGGCTTGAAGTTAACACCCAAATTCAGTTTAGCTCTTAAGAAAGGGAAAGCACTGTGGGCTGGCTGGAGGCAGAGATCCCTGGACTCAGAAGAGGGTGGTTCAGTTCCACCCTGGCTCTGTTACAGTTTTCTGGGTGACTTCAGGCAAGTCACTTTCTAAGTCTGTCTCTTCAGTTTTGTAATAAAGGTATGACCGTAGGTGACTTCCAAAGTCACCTTCTCTTACTAGGTTGAGAAGCCTGGTCATAATGTCATGTGTACTGACAGTTTGTTTACAATGTGCCAGGTCCAGGGTGAAGTGAACGGTATATAATGATCTCCTTTAATTCTCATAACAAATCTTAGACATGCTGTTTTATCCCATTTCACAAAGAAGGAAACTGAGGCACAGTTTCAGACTAACATGCCCCAGGTCAAGCAAGTAAGCAAATGGTAGATGTGAGGATTGAGTTCAGTCTGTCCCCAGAACTCTCCACAATGTGCCAGGTCCAGGGTGAAGTGAGCGGTATATAATGATCTCCTTTAATTCTCATAACAAATCTTAGACATGCTGTTTTATCCCATTTCACAAAGAAGGAAACTGAGGCACAGTTTCAGACTAACATGCCCCAGGTCAAGCAAGTAAGCAAATGGTAGATGTGAGGATTGAGTTCAGTCTGTCCCCAGAACTCTCCTAATCCCATCTATACTTACTCCCTTTATTCTGCTGGACCAATTTCCTCAAAAACAGTTATGACAGGACATACATAACATAAAATTTCCATTTAACCATTTTTAAGTAGACAGTTCAGTGGCATTAAGCACATTCACACTGTTGTGCAGCCATCCCTACCATCCATGTCCAGAATTTTTTCATCTTCTCAAATAGAAATTTCATACCCAATAAAGAGTAACTTCCCATTCCCCCTGCTCCCCCGCCCCCCAGCCCTTGGCAACCACCATTCTACTTTCTATCCTTTGAAGTTGACTACTCTAGTTACCTGATAAACTTTCCTCATTTTAAAAACTACGATAATAAAGGTCAAGAGTTGTCTGGCCAGCGTGGTTCAGTGGTCGAGCATCAACCTATGAATCAGGAGGTCATGATTTGATTCCCAGTCAGGGCACATGCCCAGGTTGTAGGCTTGATCCCCAGTGTGGGGTGGGCAGGAAGCAGCCAATGAGTGATTCTCTCTCATCATTGATGTTTCTGTCTCTCTCTCTCTCTCCCTCTCTGAAATCAATAAAAAAAAAAAACTTGTTTTTAAATGGTCAAGAGTTATTTGACCCATCTAGTTGGCTGGACTTGGATTTAAGTTCTAGTTCTTCCATTCAACAGCTGTGTGCCCTCAGGCCGAATAAATCTTGCCTGGTGGAGTTATTGATTGGATCACAGGGCACAATGCATAGGAAGGTGTTGGGAAAGTCTGATGTTACTTCTGGAGCTTGTTAAATATACCTTTTCCCCGGAGGTCTGGGACCAGGACCCCAACTTGAGTTGATAGGTGTGAGAGCTGGAAAGAATTTAGAATTATGTGTATCAACCCATTTACAGGTAAGAAGACTGAGACCTAGAGAAGTGGTAATGACTTACCCAAAGCCATGGAACTTGATGCATCCATTCCCATCTGTGCCCTGAGCACGAGGCTGTGAATATGGCAGGTGTCCAACAGATGTTTGCTGCTGAGGTTGGAAAATAGAGGCCCCGGCATAGAAGAAGGGCTTCGACTGCTTGTGTTCCAGCCCATGTACCTGGAATTGTGAAGTGGATGGTAGAGCCTCTGCTTGTAGAAGGCACTGGGGCAATATTCTTTTATCTTGGGTTCTCCTTTTTACGGGTTCCCAGAGGCCTGCCCTTGTGGCTGATGGGCTCCATTTTTCTTCTTTCCTTAGAGTAATAATGTTAGGATTTTTCAGAAGCAGGTATCAGTATATTCAAGCCAACTTCAGCCAGTAAAGGAGAATTTATTAAAGCATATAGAGGTGTCTCCCAAACCAGTGGCAGGGGTGCAGTCAGGGGCTGAAAACGGTAATGGGCCCCATGAGGAGACTACCACCAGGATAGTCAACATCCCTCACCACGCTTTATTCCTCTCTCTTTTCACAGACAGGTATGTTCTGCTCTACCTGGCAGGATATGACCGTCACACAATGCCAGAACTCACATGGGACCATCTCAACGACCCTCAAGGTTGACTCAACTGTCTCCTGGTCCTGCTTCTGTTTCTAGATGAGAAAAGCAGATTGGTTCCGCTTTGGTTAGAGGTTTGCCCTGGGTCCGATTGGCTGTGGTCAGACCAATTGGCATCACAGAGCACAGACAAAGAGAACAGGGTGGGGCGGAAGAAGGGGTATGAGTCACAAAGGCAAACATGTGTATCTATTAAAAATGTTGAATAGAAATATACACACACTGATATGAAAAGAAAGGCAAGCCCAGTTGGTGAGGCTCAGTGGTTGAGCATTGATCTCTGTCATCATTGATGTTTCTATCTCTCCCTCTCCCTTCCTCTCTCTGAAAAATCAATAAAAACATTTTTGTTTAAAAAAAATCAAGATTGTTTTGAATGGAAAAAAACAGGTTACAAAACTACATTTATCACATTTTAAAACGTCAATATGCACCCTGGCTGGGTTGCTCAGTGGTAAGCATTGGCCCACAGACTGAAGGGTTGCGGGTTCAATTCCTAGTCAAGGACACATACTTCAGTTGCAGGCTCAATTCCCCGGCTCTGGTCGGGGTTTGAATGGGAGGCAACCAATTGATGTGCCTCTCTCACATTGATGGTTATCTCTCTCCATACCCCTCCACCCTTCCCTCCACTCTCTCTAAAAAAATCAGTGGAAAAAATATCCTCGCGTGAGGATAAAAAACAAAAAAGTCAATATGCATATGTAATATAATTGAATTTCTATACATAAGTGTAAGATAAATGTTCATTAAAATGATGGATAGTAGGATTGGGGATAACTTTTGTAATGCCTACATTTTACATTTTTTTCTGTAATGAATATTAGCTGAGTTATAATAAAACAGCTCTTACCGCACAGGGCTGCAGTGTGTGTTGACTGGGACATTGATTCCCTTATTCAGTGAATATTTATTAAGGATCGTTTATGTGACGGTTTGTAGAAGCTACACAATGACTGGCCAGTGACGAAGACTCAATAATTGGTGTCACCCAGACTCTGCCTTCCAGGAGTGCACAAGGCTGGCTGCTCAGACACAGGTCTGTGTTACTGCTTTGTGCGTTCTAAAAATCTAGGAAATGGCCCAGCCGGTGTGGCTGAGTGGTTGAGCGTCAACCTATGAACTAGGAGGTCACAGTTTGATTCCCAGTCAGGGCACATGCCAGGGGTTGCCAGCTCAATCCCCAG